GTATATATATATATATATATGTTGCCAACGTCGACCCCAAACATTGTGTTTCTAACAACGCATGTTGTGCAACCGATGTTGGGCAATACTTATGGTGCAGTTCGCCCTGCCGGACCTGAAATTTGTCAGCCCCACTGCTCGCGCAATCATCCCACCCACCCACCCGCAACTTGGTTTGCAAAACCATACAGCGGCTGTTGCGATGACTGCTCGGCGCTGGCTGGCGCAACGCCGCGGCCGCGCTAGCGCGCATGCTCGCGAGCGCAGCTGCCAGCTACGCGGCCGACGCGGCCGCGGCCGCGGTGGCGCTGACCGACGCGGCCGCGGTGGCGCTGACCGCTGGGCACTTGCCAGCGGGCACTCCATTGCGAGTCAGCGACATGGGCGGGTTCGGTAGCATGGCAACGTCGACAAAACGTAAACGTGAGGAGGCTAGTAGCGATGCTGGTGGCGATGATGACAACGACGACGGCACGGCCACTGACGGCGCCCGACCACGCCTACGACGATGACGGCGTCTTCGCGTCGGTCAAGAAGGTTTGGGAAGAATTCGACATGCGCGCGCGGACGACGCGCGAAAATGGTCCGCACGGTATTCTTTGGCTCTTTGGCACGGATCGTGCCCCCCCCCAGCGCGCGCGCAAGGGCGTTCGAGTGATTTTGACATGCGGCGCGAAAGGCCTTCTGGCAGAACTGAATGGGAATGACAAAAATATGTGGTATGCTTAAGAATTCGCAAGACCGCGAGCGCCCTTTTGTTGAGAATGGTGCTGCGAAACCATGAGTTTTACACATGTTCGGGGCAGTCGGCTTTGAAGTTCTCGCGACACCGCAAGCTTTTGAAGGATTACGGCATGCGCGCGCGACGACGCGCGCGTGCGCTTTTTGTCCCTGTTGTTGCAAGAGGTTCTTGCGACAGCACGCGCACAAGGACTTTCTTGCGATTCCGACACGCGCGCGCGAGAGGCCCGTTTGGTAACACATGACGAAGATGTTGAGAAACCCATGGCTTTTGTTTAGAATTCGCAAGAACGCAGGCGCAGGTATTCGTTTTGCTTGCATGCTTTTGTTGTGGATCCATGTTCTCTCATTTGTTATGAGGACATTTGATTTGGAAATCCTTGCGAAAACTTTGATTTGAAGGATTTCGCCATGCGCGCGCGTCGACCAGCGCGTGTGCGCTTCGTCCCATTTGTTGCAAGGGATGACTCAAAACTGCTGGCAGTTGATGCACGAGTTCGCGCGCACAGCATTTGTTTCAGAGGATGCGGAAAGGGGGCGATACCGGCCTGGTGGATTCATATTATCATGGACGGTGGGGCAGAGTTATATGTAAATTGCAACACAACGTTGAGGGGCGGCCAGTCCAGGGGGGTTAGATCTTCTTCGTGTTTTGGGAACTAGAATCTACGTTGTGCCGCGCATACACGCATACACACATACATACATATATATATATATATGTGCATATATCAGACTGCAATGGCGCTTCGCGCCATGCACGTTGGTGATTGAAGTTTTTATGCAAGCGGAATTGCAGGAAGGTCAAACAGACAATCGATTGATAATTCTTTGTTGCATTTGCAGGCATCGCCGTTATGGCAATGTTATTCGGCATCCTTCCTCCATGTTTCTTTTCCTTCATTCTCACCCTACCCTGCGACTTATCCCCCATCCTCCCCAACTCTTTTTGCGGAGGTTCCTCCTTGGTGAGCCTCTGGGGGCCTCACGGAAGTTTGTCCGGCTCTCTTAAGGCTTCCTGAAGGCCGCCTTGGCGTTTTCTGGGTGCCTCTGAGGGCTTCCTCGCACCACCCTGCCTCCAACCGCGGTCTCCCTGAACGATTGGGTCACGATTTGAAATGCCTCGGAGGGTGTCTTGGGGTCATCTTGGGCCGTCATGGAGCTCTTTTAGGCCATCTTGGAACCCTGTTGTGCCGTCTTGGGGCTCTCTTGGACTGCCTGCCTTCTCGCCGAGGCCATATTGGACGTTCCAATGGGTCGCGAAACCCCCAGCCCAAGTCCAGAGGGACGGGGTAGGGGAAGGCTCAATACACCCTCCCCGCCCGCAATACGTCTCGCTCACTCCCACACGCCCTCCCAACACACTAGTACCCGAGCTACAGCGTGCTCAACGGTAGTCTTTGGATGGGCAGCTAATTGGAACCAAAACAGACCCCATGTGCGCAACGCTGGGGCGAGGTGCGCCATGCGTGCCAGGCGCGCCTCCCGCGCTAGGTGCGCCAGGCACCCGTGTTGCCCAAGCGTGCCGGGCACGCCTGGTGCGCCAGATGCGCCACGCGATCCACGTGCGCCACGTGTGCCGCATGCTCCAGCCTCGCCAGGTGCGCCACGTCTGGGGCACGCGCAGAGTGTGCCAGGTGCGCGTGCGCACGTGGCAGCACACATCGGGAAACGTGACGGCTCTCACCACCCTTGTCGAAAACCAGTGCGCAATCGCGGCGGGGTCGCCATCATAGTGTCTGGTGGGCCTGCACAAAGCAGGCAATATGCTAGCACCCTCGCCGTCCCAGTCAAAAACCAATGCACAGTGATCGCAGGGTGCCCGCGCATGATCTCAGATTTTGTTTCGAAGTGCATTTTGTGCTGTTTTTTGTCACGGGGTGCTTGCACTGCGCACACCAGGAAATAAGCTGGCACCCCTGCCGTCCCTATCACAAAAACATCAGTCATGGCAGTCGCTGCGGGACTGGGGTGACCGTCGGATCCAAGATTTCGTTGTCGATTTTTGTTGGCGGTACCGTTCAACCCTTCAAGGCAGCCCAGCGTTGTCAAATTTTGCGCGGCGGTTGCACGACGGTGGGCGCACCGTTGAACCACTCAGGACGGGCCTTTGTTGTGGGTCGTGGCCCCCTGAACGGGCAGTTGGACCTCCTCTGGCCTCTCGCGGCCCGCGGTGCCTTCGGGAGTTTTGTACGAATTGCTTGATGTGAGTTTTTCGCAGCTGCGGGGTGTGCCTCGAGTTTCCTTGGCCTCTGTGACAAGAGAAACCGCGTAAACCAGTATATTTTTTAGATCAGAGCCAGAGTCGCATTGAGTGAGGGCATACATCATAATCCGTAAGGGATTCGCCCCCTGCCGCCGGCCCCCTCTCTCGGAGAATGGGCCATGGAAGAGCTAAGTCATGAGGTCTTGGCGCTGTCGTGAAGCAGTATCGAAACTTCATGCGAAGCCGATTCGCAATCAGCAAAACCAACTGATCACAAGAGGGGTTACCACACCTGGCGATTGGTAAGACGTGTATGGTTTACGGGCTTGGTTACCACACCTTGCGATTAAAGGGCCGAGTAAACGCCTTGCGATGGATGTGCGTGAAATTTCAGAAATGTGGCAAATCTGTGTGGACCCTGTCTGCGTTTTTCAGAAGCCCTGACCCTGACCCCGCGGATCTGCGTGAGGGGTGGCACCGAATTTCAGAAATGTGGCAAATCCCAAATCTGCCACCGAATTTCAGTGTTTTGTGGACCCTGACCCCGCGGATCTGCGTGAGGGGTGTCGATTTCGAGCCCCCCCAGCAATTCAGACAACGCGCCCAGGGGACGCTAAAAAGTTTTGTTTGGGCCTCCCCCCCCCTCGCGCGGTCAATCAACTAGTTACAGTAACCAGCAATCAGTCAACTAGTTACAGTAACCAGCAAGAAGCAGAACTGTAACACTGGAAACTACAAACTACAACTGGTACAGGAAACTGCGAATCACGCGCCTCGCAGCCTGGTGGCCCTACAAGGGGGCCGGCGGATTCCTATTCGAACGCGTAGACGGACGTAAGAAAGGAGCGTGTTTGAAACCATGTATGCGCGCGCGTTGAAACTAAAGCAGAGTGAGTATGAACGCGAACTCTTAGTTTCCATATCACATGTTTATAATGTGTGAATAAGGTGTCCCTGCATCGCAAATCTATGTTTATGTTCTCAAGAAAAAAGCGTATTTGCGTTGACGTTTTGTAGGTTGAAACTTGTCGGTGTGTTCATTGTTTGACTATTGTGTCAAAATGTACCGCGTGGTTCGCCGATCGAGTTGCGGCCGTTGTCAAAATTCCGTAGGCGGAGGATTACCGGTTTAGCCGAGATGGCGTCGTTATTCTCAAGGGATGGTTGCTTTTGAATATTGGTTCATGGTGTCGTCGTTTTTCTTGTGAACTCAGTTCCACAAGTGTGTGGTAGACAAAACCTTACAACAACAGATTTTGCCCCAAAGTGGATTTCACATTGTTTTTCGACAGGGATGGTGTGGGGGGTTCATTGGTCCTGGTTGGCTGCTGAGCGCCAGGGGGAGGAGTGTTTATTCATAGGGAACAGTGATGCAGTGATGAACCCCTCCCCGAAGGGAAAGGGGAGTGGAAGAGGAAACGCTCTAAACCGCTCACGCCCCAACGGCCTCCGTAACCCTTCGATTCGCTCGGCCACGGCGATGGGCATTGTGCAGGTGAGGGCCGCCAGCGTTGCAGCCTCTTCGAGTGGGCACAACGGCCCATGCCAATGCGAAAGACCAGCGCCGCCTTTCACGGAAACCGAAATTCCCCTTCGTTATTCGCCAGGGGGCGCCGCGAACGTTGCTTGCAGACGAGGGGTGGCGTGCGCGCTTTAAACGTATGTACAGAAGGCACGGTCCCATGTGCGTGGATCCGAAATCCCAGGCGATGCGTAGAGCACTACTTCGAATTGCTGAGCTACTTACTCCTGGGCGGCAGGCATGTTCCATTGCCGGAGTGGCCCGCTAGAAAGGTGGCATTGAAATCACAAAACATCGGCGCCGTGCGAACAGGGTGAGAAGAAGAGCGGCAGGACGAATCGGGATAGGGAAGGAGAGCGAGAGGAGGCGGGAGAGGGGTGGGGGGACAGGGAGGAGGAGAAGGAGGAGGAGAAGGAGGAGGAGAAGGAGGAGGACGAGGAGAAGGTAAGGCGGAGGAGGAGGAAGATGAGGAGGAGGACCCGTGCGCCAAGAAGCCCGCAGCCCCCCCCCCCTGCGGGCGCGGATCCAAAGGAAGGACGGCCTGGAGGAGTGCCTGGCCCACGCGTATCCCCTTGGCGCTTCGCGGCGGCTCCGCCGTGCCCCCCTGGCCCCGAACGGTGGCCGCCCTCTCGCCGCGGCCGCCGCTGCAGCGGCCCCGCCGCCCCGCGCGGATGGATCGGGGCCAAGAGGGAGACAATTCGTGGACACTCCCCCGCCCCCCAGAACTCGAAGCTGGCACGCGCGGGGAAGACAGCGGTTGACGTGCAACTCATCCAGCCCACCGCCAGCATGGATCATCGGGGGGGGTGGCATCGACAGATGAATGCGGCACGAGTGATCGCCAATTCCTCCCGAGGCCTGTATTGGGGAGGGGATGCGGTCGGGCACTCGTGGATCGCCTGTCGCTCCGCCGGTTCTGGCCCACCACGCTTCGGCGCGGCACGCTGTCCACGGCCCGTTCCCCGGGCGGCCAGGCGTCGAGCTTGTCCCAGCCTCGTGTCCCGCGGAGCGGAGCGATGCGCTATCCGCTCGCAGGGCATACGGAGCGTGTCGCCAGGGCCGCCAGGGCAACACGCTCAGCAACAGTTCCCGACCGCATTCATGGCTGGGGCCACGAGATCGTCCCGAAATTCTTGGCCCCTTTTCTTATCTTAGTCGCTCCGCGTAGCCCCACCAGCCCATCCAGAAACGATGTCCAGGCGAGTTGCCCTGATCAGGGATGTGGGTGCAGCGGGATGACGGACTGGGGAAGCTGTCATACCCCAGAAGGGCGAGGACGGAGGAGGAATTTGAGGAGGAGGAGGAGGAGGAGGAGGAGGAGGAGGAGGAGGGGGAAGGGGTGGGGGGGCAAGCTAGGTACGCTCGCGTCATATCTGACGTCCTACCCCTCCCTCCCATCCCTTACCATGGCGTAGATCTCCTCTCTATTCGCACAGTCGGATGTCGAGCATGGCAATGATCCCGAGAGGGTGCGCGATGCATCGCAGAGCACGGCATAGCTTGGCGTAGAAGAAAGGCAGTGCGTCGTATGTCATAGCATGGCGTGGCGTGGCGTAGTGAAGAATTGCATCACAAAGCGTTGCAACGCAAATAATGGCATCGCACAGCAGCACAGAGCAGAACATGGTATAGCATGGCGTTGAAGATCAAAGCGTATCATGGCATAGCATGGAGTGGCAATGCGTACTCAAGCATTGCATATCCTAGCATTGCAGCTGAAGGCATGGCATCGCACAGCGGAGCACCACATAGCATTTCATTGCATGCCGTGGCATGGCACTGGAAATAATGACGCCAGCGCTGCAGCGGGAGCACGATTCGTAACGAGCGGAAGCGCGGGAATAAGGCCAGCGCTGCGGCGGGAGCACGATTCGGAACGAGCGGAAGTGCGGAAACGAGGCCAGCGCTGCAGCAGGAGCACGATTCGGAACGAGCGGAACCCAGAAAATGAGGCCAGCGCTTCAGCGGGAGCAAGATTTTGAAACAAAACCCAAGCGAAAACCCAACTCCCGGGAACCTGGCGTGTTAAAAACAATACGCGGAGGGGGGCCGAACATCTTCCAGACGTCAGCAGGGGAGAGAGGATAGTAGCATTCATTGTGTGTAAGTGTTTAGGGGAAGGGGGGAGGAGGGAGGAGGGAGGAGGGAAGAGGATGGATGATGAGGAGGCAGAGGAGGAAAGGAGGAGGGCGAGCAGAAAAGCCAGATGGGGCCTCATAGATGCCTCTTAGATGCCTCTTGGAGTCTCTTCGGATGTCTCTTGAGAGCTTCGGGGGTCCTTTTTGGGCCTCTTGGCGATCCCGGGGGCCTCTTGGAGCGTCTTGGGTGCTTTGGGGGAGCCTCTTGGGGCCTCCTGCGGGTCTCTTGGGAGCATCTTGGGGCCCCCCTCGGGGGGGCCTCTTGGGGCATCCTGGGCGCCTTGTGAGGCACTCTTGAGGCATTATTGGTAGCATTGGGGGCCATTGGGAGGCCATCTTGCAGGAGATCGATCAAAAAAGGGGGGTCCTCAATTAGCCCCCCCCCCCCCCCCCAAGGAGGCCAAAGTTGGTCCATATTTGATGTGAATTCCAGAATGTTTGCCTTCTGGCCGAGGCCATCTTGGACGCTCCAAATGGTCGCGATCCCCCCCCCCGTCCAGGTCCAGAGAAAGGGGGTAGGGGGCGGGGTCAAGACACCCTCCCCGTCTGCAAGCCGTCTCGCTCACTCCCACCCGCCCTTCCAAACCATAAGTAGCGCCAGTAGCGCCCGAGCCGCAGCGTATTCAGCGGCAGTCTTGTTTTGTCTTTCTATATTACAAAATGATCCCGGCATGTGCGCGCGCGACGACGCACGCGCGTGCGCGACGTCTCGTTGGTTGCAAGGGATCATTGTAAAGTGTTGGTTTTTGATGAACGAGAGCGCGCGCATAGCGTTTTCCTGCCGAGGGTGGCGGGGGGGGTCAATACTGGCCTGGCTGGGATGGCACGAATATATTCGGAGTCGTATCTAAGATGGACAAACGGGGCAGAATCGCACGCACATGGCAATACAAGGACGGGGGCGGATAATCCTGGGGGGGCTTACATTTTTTTAACAGCGGAGAAATCAGTTTTCCACGGGAGCTGGCATATCCATGCCCTTGTTGCGATGAGTGCGTGGCGTTGGCTGGTGCATCTCTGCCGCCGCGCTAGCCCGCGCATGCTCGCGCGCGCATCGGCTAGCTAGTTTGGCGAGACCGACGCGGCCGCGTTGGCGCTGACCGCGCGTCCCGGCGGGCACTTTGGTGCGAGTCGGCGATTTGGACGGGCGCGGTATCATGGCGACTCCGACGTCGGTAGACGCGATTATGAGAGTGAGGACGATGGTGGCGACGGCGGCGATGACGACGGCAGGGCCGCTGACGGCGCCGATGTTGATCGCGCCCGCCGATAGCGATGCTGACGTTCTCGCGTCGGCGATGAGGGTTTTTGAAGGGGTTCGACGCGCGCGCGAGGCCGGCGCACCCGAGTGGCACGCGTGGTGTTATTTGACGCGGATCGTGCTTCCCAGCACGCGCGCAAGGGCGTTCGAATGAGTTCGACACTCGGCGCGAAAAGGCCCGCTTGGCATAAGTTGGCGCAGATTACTGTGGTTTCCTTAAGACCCCGCACGAGCGCGAGCGCAGTTTTTTTTTTTTTTTTTTTTTTTTTTTTTTTTTTTTAAACGGGTGTTGCAAACCATGTGAATTATATGTTTTCGGGGCATTCGTTTTGAATTCCTTGCGGGCCCGCAGATTTTGAACGATGTCGGCATACGCGGGCGACGACGCGCGGGCGCGCACGTCGCCGCATTTGTTGCAAGGGATTCTTGCGACAACACGCGCGCAAAAGGCGTGCGAACGATTTTGACATGCGCGCGCGAAAGGCTCGTTTGGCAACATGGTATGAACAAGTTGGAAAACGATGGGTTTCAGCGGAATTGCAAGAGCGCGGCGTAGGTTTTTTTGGGGGTGGCAAACCAATATGTTATTTTATGTGCTTCGTGACTCTCGCGCACGGAACCTTAGGTTTTTGAAGGGGTTTCGGCTTGCGCGCGACGACGCGCGCGCACTTCGTTTCATTTTTTTGCGAAGCGTTTTTGGGAACGGATGATTCTTGATTAACGAGTGTGGACGCGTAGCATGTGTTGCAGTGGGTGGCGGTGGGGGGGCGGTCGATGCCGGCTGGGCTGGGATGGCATGAGTTCATATGTGAAATGGAAAAGGGTCAGAATCATATGCAACTCGCATTTCGCGAGAGGGGATCGTTATCTTCCGGCCTCGGGAGGGGGTACGAAAGAGAATCTATGTTTTGCGCGGCGACGAGGCGGCGACGGTTCGGCGACAGTGGCAACGTAGCCGCCAGACCTGCAGACAGGCCCAGACGACGGGCGGCGACGGGGCGGCGACGGCGGTGCTAGAAGAACATTATATGCGGTCCACGCTGGCTAGTATACATCATGCAATCTACGTGGTGCATGTTTTGCGCAACGTACGTGGTCAAATCTGTTGTGCAATATTGGTAGTGCGATTCATGTTTTGTGCAGCATATGTGGTTCAATCTATCTACGTGGTGCAACTCGCCCGGCTCAATTTGAATGTGTTGGTTCCACTGCTCGCGCAAACATCCCACCCGCCCACCCGCAATTTGGTTTGCAAAACCCATGCGGCGGCGATTGAGATGAGTGCTTGGTGCTGGCTGGTGTTTCTCTGCGGCCGCGCATGCTCGCGCGCGCAGCGACCAGCTAGGGCGGCGCGACCGACGCGGCCGCGGTGGCGCTGACCACTGGGCACTTCTCACCGGGCAATTCAGTGCGAGTCGGTGTAGTGGGCGGGCGCGGTATCATGGCGACGCCGACAACGGCTGACACGAGGATGAGAGTAGTGGTGATGGTGACGATGGTGGCGATAACGACGACAAGGCCAATGACGGCGCCGATGTTGATCACGCGCCGATGCCGATGACGATGTCCTCGCGTCGGTGATGAAAGTTTTGAAGGAGTTAGACATGCGCGCGCGGCCGGCGCGCGCGAATGGCCCGCGTGGTATTATTTGACACGCGCTGCCCACCCAGCACGCGCGCAAGGGCGATCGGATGAAATCGACATGCGGCGCGAGAGGCCCGCTTGGTATAGTTGAATGACAAGATTGAATAAGCAATGGCCCTCTTAAGATTTCGCAAAAGCGCGCAGACTTGTCTAAATTTCAGCCAGCGTTGATTCCAAGTACATCGGAGGACAGGAGGAGGGCGAGAGGAGGACGAAAGGAGGACGGGAGCAGGACGGGAGGATAACGGGAGGAGCACGATCAAGCCAAACGGAAGCAAGTAAACGAAAGCGAGCAATAACAAGCAAGCAAGAGCCAGCGATCAACTGCAAGCAAGCAAAGGCAAACAAAAACAAGTAAGCGAGAGCAAGCACGCAAGAACAAACAAACAAACGTCATTGGAAAAAGGGGGGAAGCCATTGGAAAAAGGAGGGGGCCATTGGAAAAAGGGGGCGTTAAATACCAATTACTTGTTATGAGCTCAGACTCCTATAAGGCAAACCTATTTGGAGAAAGCTCAGGTTGCAAAGCAATGTTTTTTGGTTTTCGGGACAGTGGTTTTTGAAATCCCTACGGAACCGAAGGTGTTTGAAACATTCGGGCAATGCACGCGACACGACGTGCGCGTGTGTTTTTCGTAGATTTTGTTGGCGGGGGGTTTTTGCGACAGCACGCGCGCAAGGGCGTTCGAACGATTGTGGCATGCGCGCGCGAAAAGCTCGCTTGGTAGCATGGTATGGAAACGTTGGAAAACTTATGGTTTCTTCCGGAATTTGCAAGAGCGCGAGCGCCAGATTTTTTTTTGTGTGTGAAAACCCGCGTTGCGAAACCATGTGTTCTTGTATGTTTTCGGAACATTCGTTTCTTGGTTGGTTTTGAAATCCTTTTACGAAACCTGGAGTTCTGAAGCATCTCGGCATGCGCGCGCGACGACGCACGCGTGTGCATTTCGTCCAGTTCTGTTGCAAGGGATTCTTGGGAAGTGGTGGTTTTTGATAAACGAGCGTGCGCCCACACGGCGTTTTGCAGAGGATGGGGGGGATTGTCGATACCAGCCTGGCTGGGTTGGTACGAGTTCATATGTAGGATGGACGATGGGACATGATCGCATGTAAATTGCAATACCACAGATGGGGCGGCTAAATCTGGGGGGGGGGGAGATCTTCATATCATTTAGAAAGGGAAGTGTATGTGGGTGGTGCAATATGCGTTGCGCAGTATATGACGTGCAGCCGATATGTCGCAACCCTCTTGGTGCAATCTATGTTGCCAAGGTTTGTGATGCAATCTACGTGGTGCAACCCACGCGGGCCAATGTATGTTGTGAAAGTTATCTGGTGCAACCAGTATGGTTCAATCTATATGGTGGACTCTGTGTTGTGCACAATGTGTGGTGTAATAGATATTTTGCAATATTTGTGGTGCAGCCTATCTCGTGCAACATATGTGGTTCAACGTGGTGCATCCTATATGATGCAACAAATGTTGCGCAATCCATGTGGTACAATCGATGCGTTTCAATCTATGTTGCGCACGCTATTCGGTCCAGTCTAAATGGTGCAACCGATATGGCGCAATGCCTGGTTTGATTTATGTAGTGCAATATAAAGAAATATGTGGCACCACATATGTGGCGCAGTACACGTCATACACTCTATGTTGTGCAACCTATGTTGTGCAATCCACATCGTGCAACCTACGTTGGTGCAGTCGCAGTCTACGTATGTTGCGGAAGTTGTGTGGTACAATCGATGAGGTGCAATATATATATATATATATATATATATATATATATATATGCGTTCCAACCTTTGTATTGCAATGTTTCTTCTCTGGTGCTCACGTTCTGCATGGCTGCGGCGCCGGCTCAATTGCCAGTAGTTCCCATCTACCTCCCGCTCCAAGTGGTCCAGCCCTTCCCCTCTACCTCCCGCTCCCCCTCCCGAGGGTTCGACGAAAGTGCATAGCGCTACGACCGCAAGACTGTGTACGAACGTCCTCCCTGCCCTTCTGCTTCTCCCCCGCTCTTTCTCTTCGGCTGCCAGCCCTCCCCCTCTGCCCCCTCTGTCTCCCAACTGCCCAGCCCTCCCTCGTCCGCGTGAGTCGTCCTCCCGCCCCGCTTGCCCCCTGCTCGCCCCCCTCCTCTGCCTCACCCCTCCTCGCCAGACCCCTCGGCCCAGGCCTCCGGCGTCGTGCTTTTCGTTGCAGCGTGGACCCCTGGATTCTGGACTCCTGCCCAGGGGCACGCTTATCTTCCCGAGTAGTTTCTCGACGACCCCGGGCTTGGTGAGGACCCCCAGAGACACCGAACGTAGACAAGAGTTGTCCGTCACTGTTCTTCATGATTCCGGCCCTGCAAACGTCGAGGGTGTTTCTGTACTCTGTTCATCGCGTGTCATTCGAGGCGTTCCAAAAAGGGCGTCGCCTTCCACACCTCTGGTTTTCGGCGGAAGCCCGCCGGAGGTCAATGGGCGGCTGCTCCACTGGCGGAAGCTCGGCGGAAGGCGATGAAAGTCAGAGTGAGGGGGCCGAAAGGTCTTACATTATCCCTGCTCGTTTATTTTTGTTGTTGTTGTTGTTGTTGTTGTTGTTGTTGTTGTTGTTGTTGTTGTTGTTGTTGTTGTTGTTGTTGTTGTTGTTGTTGTTGTTGTCGCCCGCGACCCACCCGCGACCCCAGCGACCCACCCCCGAGCCACCAACGACCCATCCCACGCCTGCCCCTCACTCTCATCCGCAATTGCGGGGTGCTGCGTAGGAGCCCCTCTTCCTGAGGAGGAAGTTTCCGCCCCATTTTCGACCACATTCTTGAGTCGGAAAATAAGCCCAAGTACGGCGGATCCAGAGTCAGGGGGTCCCAGCTGTATTGCGGCTGGCGTGTCGTAGAGAGCGCATGGGGGGCTTCGATAAGCCGGGACGCTAGCGCGCCCGAGAAAAGCGCAATCGTGGGTCGAAATCTTCTCCATGCTTCGCCTTCCCCGGGTGAGATGTTCAAAGTCCTGGTCAGCCATGTCCTGGTCTGGGGGGCTCTGAGTTGATTTCGGCCTGATTGGGGGCCTCAGAGGGCCCGCAGGCCCTCGGGTTCCCCGCGATCGCCCTTCCGAGCGCCGCCGCCGTCGGGCAAGGGGCCTGCCGCGTATATTCGTCGTCGTCGTGGCATTTACGCCGTTCCTGACAGGAGGCGGTTGCGACATGTTGGCTCGGGCGCTTGCCAAGCCCGGCGGTACTCGGACGACACCGCTGCCGTCGGTGCCTCCCGGCGGGGCCTGCGGCTCTGAGCACGCACGCGGAGGCGGAGGCCATGTGCGCAGCGATGGACAGGTTTGAGATCATGGAGGGCTTCGTGCTCTCCACGAAGATGAAAGACGAGGAGGGGGACCCGCGCATCACAGGCTCCCCCAAGTCCCCCCTCCCCCTGGAGAGGGAGGAAGGGAGGAGGAGGGGAGGAGGAGGAGGAGGAGGAGGAGGGGAGGAGGAGGAGGAGGAGCAGGAGGAGGAGGGGGAGGAGAGAAGGAGGAGGAGAAGGAGGGAGAAGGAGGAGGAGGAGGAGGAGGAGGAGGTGGTGGATTAGGAGTAGGAGGATGAGGAGGACGAGGAGGAGGAGGAGGACGAGGAGGAGGAGGAGGGGGAGGAGGAGCAGGAGGAGGAGGAGGAGGAGGAGGAAGAGGAGGAGGAAGTGGAAGACGAGGAGGAGGAGGAAGTGGAAGACGAGGAGGAGGAGGAGGAGGAGGAGGAGGAGGAGGAGAGGAGGGGAGGAGGAGGGAGAGGAGGAGGGGAAGGATGAGGAAGGGAGGGGTCGTGGAGGGGGAGAGAGGTGGGGGAGGGGGGGAGGGGGGGCGGGCGGGCGATCTCACAGCCCCGAGCCTTTTCCGCCCTCGGTCGCTGCGGCCCTGGAGCGGGCAGCGCCTCCGGAGGCAGGCAAGGGGGGGAGAGGGGCAGCAGGCGGGGGCCCCCCACCCCCTCTCGTGGTGAAAATGTCCTGATATCCAGATGTTCCACACGGGCTCCAGATGTCCTGATATCCAGGGTTCCTGATCACGGGGTCCACACGGGCTCTCATGACCAGGGTTCCCCAGATGTCCTGAGATCCAGATGCTCCACACGGGCTGCAGAAGCGAGGGCCGCCAAATGCTGCCTGGGAATCCCGGAACGTATCCCGAGCCATCCTGAGCCAACCCTATCACGACATCAGGCTCGTCCTGCAGAAATCCAGAGGGGAGGTTTCTGGTCGCATGCGGCCTCCAGGGGCCCTCGCGCTGTGCCCTCGAGCCATAAAAAAGACAGCTCAGGATGGAAAACGGGTCCCCGGGAGGGTTTCCAAACCTTTTGGGGTCGACGTTGCCAAACAAAAGCGAAGCCTCGAAGTTCGATCCTCGAACTTCCTCCTACTCCTCCTCCTCCGCATCATCCTCATCCTCATCCTCATCCTCGTGCCGTGCTGGTGGCCCTTTCACAAATTGCCCATGACAGGAAACTGGCACCCCGAAAGTTTCCAGACCTATTGGGGTCGACGTTGCGAAAAGGTTAAGACGGTTAAGACGTCGGATTTCTGGGGGGAGGGGGCGCCTGCAAGGGTGGTGGCCGCCCGGCCGCCGGCATGGCACGGGGCCGAGGAGGAGGAGGAGGTGGAGGAGGAGGTTCGAGGATCGAGCTTCGAGGCTTCATTGATTTATTGTTGTTTCGTTGTTTGTGCCTCTTGGGGCCACCGGGAGGGCTCCTCGTCACCACGTCTGGATTCCATTCGGAACGTTTGCCGGAGCGCACCCCGGGCCAGGTACGCGGGCTGGTTTCCGAACCCCGAGCGAAATTGAATGGCGTCTTGAAAATTACAGACACCTTTTCGGTGGAAGGCCCAACGCAGTTTTCCACAAGGGCCTGGCAGCCCACCTCCTCGCTCGCCTTTATTACCACGAATATGGTCAGAAACTTCGGGATAGCGTGTCGCTTCGCGAGTTTTGGCCCACCACGCTTCAGAGCGAAAAGCTATATGCTTTCTCTACCCTAAGCATCTACGAGCCGAGTTGTTGTCCGAACCTCATGCCCCGCGGAGCGACACGCTATCCGCTCGGAGGGCATAGCGTGTCGCAGGGGCCGCCGCCAAGCGGCCTCCAAGAGGGCCCCGAGATACCATGAGGCCTCCAAACGGCATCACAGACGCCTCGAAGACGCCCAGCCCGTCACGTCCAAACGAAATTGGTAAGCACCCTTCCTGACCCATGGAAGCTCGAAGAAGGCTTACTTTCCCCCTCATCATCCTCCTGCTCCTGCCATTATCATCTCCATTGCGACTTCGGTTCGAGACTTCCAAGAGCCATCGGCGCCCCCGAGGCCACACTCGAAGTTGCGCTGATTGTCAGACCTGGCTGTTGCTTTCAAGGTTGCTCGCGCTCCAAGCTATCTACGGTCAGCGACCTTTTTGATTTTCGCTCCATCCCCTCGTGCATTTTTGTATCGAAGGACAACCTCAAAACACACGGAGCGACAGGAAAACCTTTGCAACCCGTATTTTGCTCACCTTAGTGCTTCGAGGCGGCCTGTGGCATCGACGGTCTGTCACACATTGACGGCGCCACGTTCGCTTTGTTCAGAGCCACGTGGTTTGAGCGTGATCGGCGCCACCGCGCGCGGCTCCTTTTTGGGTCTCGCGATAGTCGAATATTTCGAGCACTTCATGCTTGCCCCCGCCTGCCCCGTTCATCTGCGCGGCAACTTGCCCGAGCTCTTCCCACAGGCCGCACGCGCGTCCGACGCACGGATCGACCGGGCGCCAGGTGGCCAACGTAATTTTGTCTACCCGCGGCAACGTAGAGAAATTCGCATCTGCAGGCTCAACATGAAAATCCCGAAGCAGAAGGAAGTATTCTACCTGCGCCACATGCTTTTGAACTTTCCAAAGAAGGACGTCCGCGACTGCGCACTCCCAACGGGAAGGAGCCTGCCACATACGGAGAGGCCCTCCACGCCACGGGCCTGCTCGCCGCCAACGCGGAGGCGCACGAAGTTTTCGATGAGCTGACTGCGCCGAGGTCACTGCCAGCCAGCTGCGCTTCGCTTACCTCGTGCTCCTCGAGCAGGATGCGGCGCCAGCCCAGCTCTTCGCGAAGTGCGAACGCCCGCTGATGAGGGACTTCCTCGACCGGGGTCTCTCTCCGCAGCGCGCGCGGGATCAGCTCGTCTGCCTCTTGAAGGCCATGTGGCTCGACAGTGGCAACCTCGAATCCGATTGGAAGCTCTCCTACCCTGCCTCTGGCGAGGCGGGTTTCGCAGCGTCGCCCGCCGCGTGCGCGGCCACCCCGTTCGACGACTTACGCGTTAAGATCTCCCGGTGCCCCTCACAACGCGTTGTCGCGTTCCACGTGCTACGCCGTTAGCGCGACGCCGAGGAGGCATGCGTTTTCTTCGAAGGGAAGGCGGGAGCTGGAAAATCCAGGGTAGCCCAGTGCGACGCAGCTACAGGGGAAGCCGCCGGCGACGTCGTCACCAACGTCGCTAGCACGGGACATGCTGCTATGCAGCTTCCTCGCGGGGGATGAATGGCCATGCATCCACAAGGCAGCGCAGGAATCATGCGTGATCTTGCTCAACGCACTGAAAGCGCAGCGCCCCAACGATTATCGGCCCAAGATCTTCGCGCGCTGCGGAGCTTCGGCCAGATCCCGCCCGTCATCCCCAAGGCCAGCCGACGTGTCATCGTCCAGAACGCCGTTCAGAGCTCATCGTCGTGGTCGAGGTTCACCTGGTTCCGCCTCGCCCGCATCTGGCGCCAAGCTGAAGACGTTTTTTGTTGTGGATAGACGGCATCGGTGACGGTACCCAACCTACTCAGAGCAATGGCGCGGGTAGCTTGGGGTTCGTGCCCCTGCGCGACATCGCCGCAGTGCCTGGCGAGGCGGCGGAAAGTTGACGCGCAACATCAGCGACCCGCGCGACTGCTCCAACTCCAAGATGCTGGCCGGTGTGAACACATTGGTGGACGCGCACAACGAGCGCATCTTGAACGTGTTGGAACGCACCTTCCTCTGCCCTACCATTCGCTCAGCGTCGATACGCTGGACATCGACTCTTCTGGATTCATCGGGCCGCACCTGACCGCGAAATTCCTCGCGCTGCAGAACGCACCTGGCGCGCCGCCTCATGACTTGTACATCGTCGTCGGCACTCTCTTCGAGCTCGTGAGGAGCCTCAGCCCTGCCGGAAGACTCATGAACCACGTGCCTGCCATCGTCAAGGCGGTTCACCACCACCACATCCTCATAGAAGCCTTGGACGGCCACCAGTACCCTTTACCGCGCGGCGTTCTTCGCTGGCAAATTGCCAACGGCACATCCACCATGGCCCGTCGACAGTATCCATTGAAACCGGCGCACGCCTCCGCGTTCAACGGAGAGCAGGGCCGGGCGCTCGCGCGGGCGTCCCTGGACATGCCGCGGAGCCATTTGCGCACGGGCACCTCTACGTGGGCCTCAGTAGGGTGAGGGGACGAGCCGATATTCGCGTTCTCGCCGACGGCGCGAATCTCGATCGCACTGGCCAGGCGTTAGTGCGCAACGTCGTCTGGCCCAAGCTTCTGTTGCGATCGGACCCCGCACGTCCAAAGTATCCTGCCCTTACTCCGCGCAAGCGACCTGCTGCCTGCTGTCCACGACCGTCTGCAGAAACATCACTCACTGCATGCCCTTTCGGCCTTCCGCCCCCGAGCTGCCCCCTCTTGACGGTCGGGTTCGTCACCTTCTCCTTGGCGTTGACCTTCACCCCTTCTCATGGTCATCCGCGTCTCCCCCTCGAAGCGGTCTCCGCCTTTCCCCAATGACATGCCCCGCCATCGAACTCTTCACCTTCGCCCTCGTAGCAGTCTTGCTTTTCCCTCATGACATGAACATGCCGATGGGTTCCATCCAGCCGATGACCCTAACCCCCCTCGTGGTCATGATCTTCCCGCACTGATGTGACCTTCGGCAACCACCCGGTTTTGGGATGCATGGCCAAATTTTGAGGCGAAACGAAGCGAGTCCTCAAGTCTTGTATATAAATATATACACATATGGGTGCAGTCCAATGGCGGCGACGGGACGGCGACGGTCGGCACGGAACCGCCAAACCGACACACAGGCCCAGTTTTTTAGACCAGATGCAAGAACCCCTACGTACAAACATTGTTTGGTGAACGTTTACATCACCATTCCATACAAGTTCTTCAGGACAAAACACGACGGCTGGTTCGGGTTATTTCGTGGTTTGGGGGGGCGTCGCCGGGCCCCAGGGCCGTCAAACAGAGCAGGAGGAAATGCAGGTCACAGGGAAGGAGTCGAGACATTTTGAAGGTCCAC